CGCCCCGGCCCGGGCAGACCCCTGACGGGGGGCGGAGATGGGGCAGTCCGGCCGTCCACCGACGGCACCCCTTCGCTCGTTGCTTATCCCGCCTCCGCGGAGCTGGACTAACCCCCGGGGGGAAGGCCAGGCTTCGGGCCAACAGCGGCGTCTGCATCAGGGCTGCCGCCCAGCCGTCCGCTCTTCACAAGCCCGCGGCGCGCCAAAGCCGCCTGTTCTTGCTGGAGCCCTCCGCCTTCTGCCCAGATACATGCTGGTCGAGTCCAAATCACTCAGGAAATCGGAACCACGCGTTTCCAAATCGCGATTCCCGGTGGGAGTTTCGCCGTCTGTTTCAGGAACTGGTTAAATCAAAAGGGGGAGGGAAGAGGTGGGAGCAGGCAAAGCAAACCACTAATACCGTGCTCTCCTTCAGTCCTTCCCCGGCTCTTTAGAAATGTGACTTCAGAACTGTTTGCTTCGCCGAAAGAGCGTTTTTTAGGGACGTGCAGCAGTTTATCTGGCCCACACTGGAGTTGGTGGGCTCTTAAGACGCACGGGTGCAAACCTCCACTTTCGGATCAGGGTTGTGTTACTCGCGTGTCACAACGCAGTTGTTGCAACCTCTGTGTGACAAGCTGGCTGATTAAAAAAGTAGCTGTTGGCAGAAGGTGTCCAATTGCTCCCTCCTGTTGTCATTACCTGTTCAGGCCAGAGTTACTCTGGCAAACTTGGCTGAGGAGCTGGTAGTAAAGCTAGGCTCCGAGGCTCAGAAGCCCTTGCTGTGACTGTAAGAATAACGTGTCAATAAACACAATATGTACTAAAGAAACTGCTACTCAGATGCAAATATAAGCAAAATTCTTTAAATTACTTTCACCCTTTTTTTTTTAAAATAACATTTGTTATCTTGTTTGAAAACATTCAAAACAAACACAAAAAAATTACTTTAAAAGTTTGAGGTCTGCTTATTAACCAAAATTCACCTTCTTTCTTGACAGCTGATGAAGAATTCAATGAGCTTTGCTTTGAGTTTGGTTTGGAGCTTGATGAAATTGTAAGTAATGTTTTTATTTGTTACTTTTTCAGTACTGACAGCATTTATATTTGGGAAGAGTTTGTACTGCATTATTTCTAGCATATTCCCTGGTACCGTGTTGGCCGATGCCCTCTAGCACGTACCAGGAAAATGTCTGGGCAAGGTTTGGAGGATGCCAGGCCCCAGGTATCCACAAAAAGCAGTGTGGACAAGACTTGAAGGTCCCCTTGGCCTATGCAGTCTTCCAGCAGTACCGCAGTGGGTTTTTCATCCTGAAACATCCTCACGCATCTCCATACCGCAGGGCAGAACATGTAACACATACCTTTAGGTTCCTGTTATAAAATACTGTTGTGATAGACTGTATTAACACAGGTGGTTTGAATCTGAAAAGAAAAACAGACATACAAAAATTACCGTCTTGGAAGTGAGAGACACTATGCTTCGTGGAGGTCGGCAGTCTGTGCCACTTGGTCTTCAGTCTCTGGCCCCATTTTATTTAGCAGCATAAATATGGCCACAGACCATGTATTGAACATATTTTACAAGATCTGTTTGGTTTTGTTTTGTATGCATTCTTCTGTGCAATGTCCACAAAACTGTATTTGTCCTGGACATTGTTACCTAAGTTGTAACTAATTTATATTTAAAGTTTTGATTTAGATTCTGTACTTGTGAAAATTTGCTGGCCCTGTTAACTGTACCCATGTAAATCTTGTTCAGGTAGACCTGTTTTAGTTTTGCTTTTTAATTTGAATTAACTGATCTTTTAATGACGTTTATCAAAAGACATCTGAACATCATAAGTTATGCTTTATTTCAGAATAGACTTGATATGACAAGTCATTTGCCAATCTATTGCCAAAGTAAGGTCTCAGTTCTCTACTGGGATCTGCTAGCCTGCAGACTCTTGCTTCTATAATCTCTTTTTCAAATTCTAATAGTGAATTTTTCTTTTGGTATACTGCATTACAATCTCCGAGTCTGAGAAAGATTTAGATTTTACATCATTTCTGGTATTTGGTGTGTCCATTTGCTGTATAAATCCAAATTACACCTTTAAACTTTTAATTAATACAGTTTTTCCTATTGTATTATCTCACTATCATACTCCTGTCAATGTTGAGATATTTCAGGTTAAAAAGACATTTTTGCTTAATTTCAGACATCTGAGAAAGACATTATAAGTAAAGAAAAAGGTGAAGAAAAGGCAAAGGGCGCATCTGATACCGTTCTCTATAAAATTGATGTTCCCGCCAACCGTTACGATCTTCTTTGCCTTGAAGGGTTGGTCCGAGGGCTGCAGGTCTTTAAAGAAAGGTAATGCAGAGTTGTGAGGGTTTTGTGTGGTTTGTTATTTGTTTAAATACGAGTCCATTTCTGGTCAATAAACAAACTTGCCACTTGCTTGGATTTTGAGTACGATCTCATGTGTAGATCAGATTCGTCAGATGTTCCTCTGGAGAGGATCTATTGTATATTTTAAAAAAAAAATAGACTAGAATGTTACTGGGTTTTGGATCTGTTCTAAAAATTTTTCAACTGCTGTTCCATTTGAGACTTGCCCTCTGTAAAGAATGCCTGCAGAGGACCTTCCTTGTGATCCTCTGTAATAAATACCAAAACAAATCATTTATTTCACTTTTCCGCTATGACTTTATCTTCTTGAGTCCTTCCTTTCTAGTTCAGTAATCTGTTTACCATCCCATAGAAAACAAGTTTTAAACAGTAAGCTAATTTACATGCCAAGAAATGTTACTAAGAAAGTTTTCTACATATAATTGTTGCTACATTTCTAAAGTTTTCTGCATTTGGGGAACTGTCTTTCTTTCAGTTACAGACTTATTTCTGGTTTTATTCTAGGATAAATCTCCCTAGGTACGAAAAGATAATACCAGCTCAGGGTGAAGGTCAGAGGCTGATTATCACTGAAGAGGTAAAAGTGCTGACTGCACCTTTGTAAATTTGTTGAGAGTTTCTGAACCAGCAAGATAGGTATCGGTACCAATTTTAGAAGAGCAGTGAGGCTGGAAATCTTATTTGCAGAACAAGAGCTAAAGAAATTTAATTATCTCTACTCATTGTGATTTACTTTTAGGGAAGGGGAGGGCGGGGGAACAATAGACTAATTGTTTTGGGTGAACCTAGTAGCAAATCAAATCAAAGTTTCAGATGCTCACATTGCATTGACCTTCTGGGCCATTACACAGCATATTGGAAACTTCCTTGTCTCTACCAGACCTGGAGTTGGGTTTGTTTGGGGTTTTTTTCCCCTTTAGGATTCTGGTGTCTTTCCTTGAATTTTCCTTTTGATTACTACTTTACAAAAGAGGATTTTGTCACAAAAAGTGCACTTTTAATCAGTTTTAGTTTCGTATGTTCTGTGTACTTGAAATTTATAATGTGTTGCTGTGGTAAATTGCAGACTGTCCAAGTCCGTCCTCATGCTGTAGCTGCAGTCCTTCGTAATATAACTTTTACCAAGGAACGTTATGATAGTTTCATTGACCTCCAAGAAAAACTACACCAAAATATTTGCAGGTTAGTGCTTAAATTTAAAGTAGCGTATAGCGTCTATGTGTATGTTAAGACTGCCCATCCCTGTTGCAGAGAGGCATTATATTTATTTTTATGCTAAGGAAAATGTTTTATAGCAGCTTTCTTGATCCTTCTTATTGAGAGCAGGCAGAAACAGGCAAGAAAATATTTTTCAACATAAATAGCTGTTACAGCTCCTACAACAGTTGAGAAAGAAGCGTTTTGCAACAGTGCCATTGGATTTGCCTTTAACAACAATGAATGTTGTTAACATTCATTAAGATGTTATCCATGAAAATAATTTCTAGGCTTCTCAAAATTGCCCTTCTGCTTTTTCAGTAAGTTCTATGAATGCATAGGAGTATAGAGCATCGTGAGATATTATCTCAAAGGAACTCCAAATATTGCTAGTAAAATCTCTATTTTGCCTTCTTTCTAGGAGAAGAGCGTTAGTAGCAATAGGTACCCATGACTTGGACACCATCTCTGGTCCATTTACTTTTACAGCTAAAGCACCTTCCGAAATTAAATTCAAGCCCTTGAATCAATCCCAGGAGTACACAGCTTCACAAATTATGGATCTGTATAGGGTAAGTGGGATTTTTCAGACTTGTTGCACTAAATGCAGGAAGATAAATTTCCAAGGCTCAACGTCTCTCATATCCTTGTTGTTAAGAGTTGTCCTTACAAATAAAACACAGTTATCTTCTGTAGCTTCAGCCAGAGAACATTCCACATTTTGCTTATTCATGAGAAATGCACGGTGATACTTTATTTTTATTTTCCATGAAAGATACATCATGGTGTTCTGTAGCTAAGCATAACTCTTAGAATAGTGAGTTTGATATTAACCCTCCGATTTATCAACACAAAGACTGCTTTTCATGATGCTCTTAATAATACTGTAAAAGGGTTGTATATTTATCTTCTACACTGGTAAGATACTCAGTGTATAAAGCTGAGAAAAGCTTGGGGTAAGTAAGATCAGATTTTTTAACGTTTCTTTAATTTGTCCAATTTACTTGGGGAAAACGTTCAGTTATTTACCCAACTACATATTAGGCAAGCGTAGCTGTGTAAAAGGCTCAAGTTAAGACTGGCACTGCTCTTGGCCCAGCAACCTGATGAAACCAGGTAAAAGCTAGGAAAAGATTCTGTCAGGTCTAATTTTACGATGTTTATGTGGACCACTTTAAATGTCAGCATTTGAAAGTGATACTATTATCACTGTCATTACAATATGCAGCCCTGCTGGAGCACACATACTGGTCATAGAGATAAATAAATCCTCAAAGATCTCTGACTAAAGATGAGTAAGAGAGCTAGGAAACAAGGGGTATCAGAGAGACTAAAAGTAAACGATGGTTTTGGTACAGCATATACCTATGTCATTGGAACAGATGTAGATTTTGAATCAAATTTAAGCATAAATGCGTCAGTATTCAGCAATTTATAACTTAAAGTACTGTAGTGCTAATTTTTATCACTTCTAAGGAAAGTCCTATAAACTAAGGATGTGTGCCCATGGGTTTGGCAATGAAAGGTAAACAAAGGCATCGTTTGGACAGCATGGCCTATGCATCTTTGAGAGAATCCTTAAAGAAATAATTTTTAACACTGCTGAAGAAAACCAAAAATCCAGTTCTCTTATTTCAAAGTTTTCCCCTTCTGAGAGTAAACAGCTTTTGCTAGTGAAGTACCTAGCCCTAAGCCCAATCCTTCCCTCTTTCAAAACTCCCATTAATCTCTCAGTAAAGGATTGTGGCACCATGGAAGTTCACGAGTGAGCTAATGTGAAATTGATGTTATGCTTTGTTTCTCCAGACTGACAGCCACCTTCGGCACTATTTACACCTAATTGAAAACAAGCCGCTTTATCCTGTCATTTATGACAGCAACGGTGTTGTTCTGTCCATGCCACCAATCATCAATGGTAAGATAACTTATGACTAGTTTATACTGTCGCTGCTATTTTGTGTGTGAGTCAGAGTGTCTAACAGAAACGTTGATGTGTAATAAGGATTATTCTGTTTTCTTAAAATTGTTTCACTTATCATTTCATATAGTCGTCTTTCCTTCTTTCAGTTTAAATGCAGCCAAATTTTTGGCTCCCTCCCCAGCCTGCTGGTGCTCCTCTTTTCTCATCCTCATCAAGAGGATGTAAAAGTCCCACTGCAAACCTCTGCATTTAGCTTCTCATACCCTTCTAGAACTCAAGAAAGGTTCCTTGCGACAGGAACCTTTGTTAGGAAAGCGTTTTGTTTGCATACATAAACATTGTTCATCAGACATTCAGCTAAAAGAAGCGTGTGAGAAATTATTTTGTAAACTGGTAACTGCAACAGTCTGCTTTGTACTCCATTTTATGTGGTCACAGTAGGGAACTTTTCACCTAGGTCTTAAGCCCAGTGTATCTATCAGCAGTGTGAACCAGTTCTTGTGGATCCTTTTGCCGTCACACAAGTGATTCCAGAAGACTTTAATGGCTTAAAAAGAATAAATTGGTCTAGATTTTTTTGCATTGTTTCTAAACATGGGTTTCCTCTGAATGCAAAAGAAACTGTGGGTGATTTTTGAGAACCACATTTACTGAAGCCAGTTAACGACGTGGTAGGAATTACTCCTTTAGCAAAGATACTTCAGTATACCTATATATTTAGGTCAAGAATCAGTAACTT